TACGTCACGCCCGCATGCCAGACGCCCACGCCTACGCATATGCCGTGAACCAGGAAAGCCAGACGACCACCCACATAGCAGGCGAAGTGGGCGTAGTCAAGATTATTCCAGAAAGTCTGGGAGCAGGCCATACGCTAGGAATATTCTGGAAAGGTAGGAGCCGTATAAATATGCCGGAGTTGACAGACTAAAGGACGACTCCGACAGACCGGCAGAGTCACGCAAGCCCCCCAGTCTTTGTGTGCGGTTGAATAAAGCCATTGCCTATCAGGACCGCCCCTTGCCTTATTCTATCCATTATTCGGGTTCGAAATACTGGGCTATAACTACTGGCGACACCGAACGAACTGGCTATAACAGGCTACTTGACTAAGACACCCCTCGGCCGATGCAACAAAGACATTTTCAGGCGAAATCCCCTCGGACAACTTGCAACACACCAACAGCAAACCACTTGAACTTGCTCCGCAATCCTTCTAAAAGCAACTGTCATCACCCCACACAACACACAGACCTGGCTTGGCTGGACGCAGTCAGCACTAGCCCTGGCATCGCTAGACGCCGCTGCCACCTGAGAGAGCAATATGGAATTCTGTATACAATGAAACTCTCATTTTGGTGATTCTTGCCTTTCCCCTCCAACCTGGGATTCGACCTGATGATTGTAGTGATCCGAGTACATTCAGTACTTAGACCCCTACAAGAGACAGAGAGAATCCCAAGGCACAACGTGACGAGTGAGTCTTGTAACCGATCAGCGAGCGCCCTTCTATCATTTCAAGGTGTTTCCAGACTTCAACCATTTCCGGAGTCATTGCCTGCCCTGACATCTTGACCTTTTGTATATCTCCCGACCCCACTCTATTCCACTATATCAGAGTCTCCTTATCTAGATTCTTTGACGATACAACTGACAAAAGCACTGTTCCGGCGGTAAAGCGGGCCATCGTAGAAAACCTAATAACCCAACAAGTCTTTTCCTGGGTCAGCGCCTGCAAGCAACAGCAGAAGCGATCGCTATCAAGTTGATGAAGCCGGCGTTGTGTGTGCACAAAAGAACTTCCTGCAAGCTCCGCATCTGGTGTGGTCCATAGGCACTTAGCGGCATGAACTCGCTCGCGCTGTTTGTCTCCTTCCCCTCCTTCCTCGCCTGCTCTACCAAACTCTGCCCTCATAACCAGCCTTATCTCATCTGCCCCCTCCCCTCTTTCCCATGACTCACTTGCACGAAAAGACGAACCCGTTTTAACTTACACCCCGTTCCCATACAAATATACTGGCCCGACGCGAATTTACCGAAAGCATGCGTACGCCCGCTAAACTAGTCTGCTGGATTCTCTGATGAGAATCTTCGCAAGGCTTTTCCGCCAAAAAATCTATAAAACATTCAGCCAGATGGGCACAAGAAGAGGCGATTTTTGGAAGAGAAGGGAACACCTGCAGGCTATCAAAGGGGGGTAAAAACCCTGACCTTTAAGCAGAGATAACCCTGCGGATTTAGACTCTGCGTCGGTAGGGGAAGGTAAAGGTACTTGCTTTGTATGATATAGTTGTAAGTAACCAGAGGCCAGAGAGATCTGAGAGTCGAAGAGTGAATTAGGATTCGTAACAAAACAAAAGATACAACAATGAGGCAGAAGGAAACGGAGCGGGGGCTTGCGAGTGTCAGCATGAGAAAAGTTGGAGAAAAGGCACACACGGGTTAAGAAGAAAGGCATTGAGAGGGGACTCACAGGAGACGGTGTGCCGATTTCAGACAAGCGCAGGGTAGACTCGTCCTGACCTGAATTAAAAAAA